CGGGCTTCCTGCCTGCTACCCACTGCGCTCCCACCGCACAGCATCCACACCCTCCCTCTGCCCCAGAGGAGGGAGGACAGCATGGGGGGATGCCTGCAGATACCTCCTTCTCTGAGAAGCAGACTGCAGGCCGCGGTGTTCCCTCTGGGCAGTGGTGGGAAGGACAGCCTGTGGGCCAAGGGTGGAGGAAGGGTGAGGACTTAATTCCTGAGCTCTGCAAAAATGCTCCCGTCCTATAACCTGGTGGAGGAGGCCTTCAAGAAATTATCAGGGACTGAGAAGGCTTCACACCCTCAGGGGCTCTTTGCACCAGGTGCCGTGGGTGCTGTGGGCTGAGGCACAGTCTGCAGTCCGCTAACAGGGATGGTGAGTGACTCAGATGAGCCTGGGCCTGAGCGGGCAGCTGCTTAGATGCACCAGGGGACTGCAGGGGCAGGAAGAGGGTGAGGAGGGTGAGGGACAGCTGAGTGAGAAAGGGCGTGTGTGGGGGCAGGCGGTCTCTTCCTGTGGTCTCCACTGGGAAAACACCATCCTGAGTGAAGCCAGGCAGGGCGCTGGAGACGGTCATGTCAGGTGGGGCGGGATTTCCTCCTCCTCCCGGGGCCTCGCCTCCCTTCTCTGCAAGCCTTTGCCACTTTGTGGTTGTCATTCCTACCCAGTCTTTCCCTGGGCCAGACAAGGGTTCCAGGGGAGGTCCAGGCAGGTGGGGGATCCCTGGAGAAGTGAGGTCTGCCGAACCTTCCCATGGCCTGAGCATCGCGTGGGTCCTGCCGTGAAGTCCCAGCTGGAGCCACCTGGGATTCCACGGGGGATGCTCCTGGAGCTGTCGCCTCCTCCGGCCTCGTCCTTTCCGTCCAGTCGGTTTCACTCCATGACTTGGGCTCCTCAATCCCAGGGAACAAGCACGGCACGGCTCGGCCCAGGGCCACACGGGGTGCCCTGGTGGGGCTGGGCTGGCTTCGGCAGGAGGACTTGCTTCTCCCAGCAGTTATTTTCAATTTGCCAGCTCCTTCCTCACCTCCCTGGGGGTGACCACGGACACCTGCCTTCCCCAGGACAGGCTGGCTTGGTGGGCGGGGGCTGGACAGGCTCTCTAAGGCAGCCCCCATCACCCGCCCAGCCCAGGCCTCACACCTGGCTTCACCTCCCCGTTCCTGCAGCCCAACAGGGCTACTCCCATTCCCTAAAGCGGCCCAGCCCCTGCGCTTCCTCAGAACTTTCACCTTGAGTACCTGCCCATTCCACAGGGGACTCGAGCTGAGGCCCAGAGTGGCTCTTGGTGTTGTCCTGCCCCACTAGATGGGGGCTGCAGAGGCCAGAGCAGGACGGGAAGCCCTGACCTTCTCAGCATGGGTGTTGCTGACAGCAGCTACGGCCCTGACCTTCTCAGCATGGGCAACGCGTCAGAGGCAACCGTCCCTTCTTTGCTTTGCTCCTCCCAGCAGGCGTTCACCCCTACCGCTCAGAGCTGCTCTGAGGGGGGCTTTCAGGCTTACAGTGGAAATACAGGGATCCCTGTTACATTCCAACTCCAGATCAACAACAATAAATGTTTGTGTGCCATGCAAGTTAGATTTGAACTTCAGATTAATCCTAACAACTGGGCATCCTGCATTTTATTCGTCACCCTGATGCAGTTAGGCCATGAAGAGGAGGCCGCAGGGGCCGGGCGTGTGCTCTGGGAGTAGAGGAGGCTGCAGGGGCCGGGTGTGTGGTCTGGGCGTCGGGGAGGCCGCAGGGGCCGGGCGTGTAGTCTGGGAGTAGAGGAGGCTGCAGACGCCGGGCGTGTGGTCTGGGAGTAGAGGAGGCCGCAGGGGCCGGGCGTGTGGTCTGGGAGTAGGGGAGGCCGCAGGGGCCGGGCGTGTGGTCTGGGAGTAGAGGAGGCTGCAGACGCCGGGCGTGTGGTCTGGGAGTAGAGGAGGCTGCAGACGCCGGGCGTGTGGTCTGGGAGTAGAGGAGGCTGCAGGGGCCGGGCGTGTGGTCTGGGAGTAGGGGAGGCCGCAGGGGCCGGGCGTGTGATCTGGGAGTCAGGACGTGGGTTTGTGCTACGTGGTGAGCATCACCGCTTTATCCTGAAGCCCAGACGGGCCATGTCATCGAGGAAACTGCTTCCCCGCAGAGGTGTCTGCATAAAGGGCGTCTGGTCTCTGGGCGGCTGGATTCTGTCTGAGAGCCTGTCTCCTGTGGATTCTTCACTGTCCATTGAGGACCTGGAGCCCAGGCGGGGCAGCGACTTGCTCAGGTCACACAATGGTGCCAAGCTCATGCGCTCAAGTCTGACTTTTCTGCATCCGCACCTGAGCCTGAGCAGGCCTGGCAGGTACTCTGGGCACCTTGGCTGAATCGGACCACAGCGTCCTGGAGAGAAGGGCCCGACGCAGAAGGGTCTCCTCCCCGGAGTACTGCCGGCGTTGGTGGCTGGCGTAGACCTCTGCTGGAGACTCCCGTCTTGGTTGCTTTTGCATCCCTGTCCCTGAGGCTGCACAGAGCTGTGTCCGCTGTTCCCGAACGGGTGGCTGGGCTAGGGGAGGGGCAACGAACACAGGTCCCTGCAGGCAGCGTCTCTCGCCTGGGCTCCTGGCATGTGGTCGTGTGGGGGCTGCTGACTGTGGCTGGCTGAGGAACGGCCACCTCCTAGTCCCCAGAACCTGTGCACAGGGGAGAGTGTGGCCTTACGCGGCAATAGACTGAACTGTGGGTGCGTTGAGACCTGTGGGATGAGGAGATTATCTGGGACAGCCCAGTGGCCCTAAATGCTCTCCCCAGTGTCCTTGTAAGAGAAGCAGAAAGAGATAGCACAGCTGCCCATAGGAGAGGACCACGTGAGGACGGAGGCAGCAGAGATGGAGAGACGTGGGCAAGGAACATGGCTGCACCGGACGGAGCTGGGCGAGGCGGGAGCCACGCTTCCCTGGAGCCTCCGGAGGGAGCTCGGCCATGCAACACCGTGCCCTTGGACGTCTGCCTCCAGAGCTGTGAGAATTCGCTTCTGTCATTTACCTCCGCTGCGGTCTGTCACAGCCCCGGAAACATGCCCGCTGTGGGCTGCAGCTGCGTGGAGCCTCCACAGCTCAGGGTGTGCCCCTGGTGCTTCCCTAGCTTCAGCCCCGGGACTCTGTTCAGGCAGGAATGTGTCCTTCCCACCCCACCTTCCCCAGCACATCTGGGACTTCCTGAAATACAGGATCCACGCTGTGGCCCTGAGCTCTGCTGGGAGACTCAATCAACACCCATCTGAGCATTTGCGGTGCCACGGGTGCCAAGGAACCCCTTCATGAGTTGCCAAGGCCCCATGGCACGTCTGGTCTCTCTGACCCTCCCCACCCTCACCGTGCTGCCCTCCTGGGGTCAGAGTTGGAGTCCTGGGTGCACTGTGGCTAGTGGTTGCCTGCAGGCCTCTGGAGCACTTGGCCCTTTGTGGTCAAAGCTGCCCAGCCGTCCAGGGCGAGAGCCCGCATCCCCTCCGTCAGCAGCGGCTCTCCTCTCTCTCGCACGGGTACAGCTTCCCAGGGACCATTGCTTGCCCACAGTTCCCTGGTGTGGTCCACATGCTCCTGTGTGCCAGGCATCGTGCCTGGCTCTAGGGTACACCGAGGAGTGTGACACCATTCCAGCCACAGGAAACTCACCATGTCATTCGCCACCCGCCAGAGGGGCCAAGGGGCAAGGATGGGGCCTGGCCCATCGGAGGCTCTGACCTCAGCTGGGGCACAGGTGGAGAGAGCGGGGTCCCTTGGGGCAACCAGCTGGGTTCAGCTCAGGAACTGGTGGGAGCCAGGAGGCCAGAGCCAGTGAAGGACAGGACAGGGTGTCAGCCGGGACTGACAAGGGGGACAGCTGGGTGGAACCCCCTGCCGAGGAGAGGGGAGGGCAGGGGAGGGGGGCCTGGTCTTGGGCCCTTGGTGTTGACAGCAGTGGAGAGGGGGCTTCAGGGGCAAAGGAGGATGCAAAGCCTGGGGGCTGTGCCCGAGGGAGAAGGGCCCTGTTCTGTGGCCACTGGAGGGAGCAGCTTGGAGGCTGAGGAGCCAGCCTTTCCCATGGCTCAGAGCCTCTGGGCACTTTGAGTAGATTGGGGTGGGGTCGGGGGTCTCCTGGGTGAATTCAGAACACTGGAGGTTCCTGGGAAGGAGGAGCTGGGACACTGAAGGTGTCATCGTTCACCTCCCTGCAGGCCAGGTCCTGTGGAGATGGAGGACTATGGCACATGGCTGTGTGTGGGGACCTAGGCAGGCCGTGGGTGAGGGCCTAGGACAAATGGGCCCTTGAACCTGAACAGCTGCCCTGGGGAGGGGGACACATGCTCTAGCCAACTCCAGCGAACAGGAGTGGGCCAGCGTGGAGGAGGGATATCTGTCTCTTGCTTGACCGTGGGCTACCCTGTGAGGGGGTGAGCTCCCTGTCCTGGGAGGCGTGGAAGCAGAGACCCACTCACTGGGCTGCAGCCCCTCACAGGGGCTTTCAAGCACCAGGAAGTGAGTGGCTGTTGCCCCTGCCCCACCCCCCTGGGGTCCTGGTTCTGCCCACAGCTCTGACTCAGGTGCAGCTGCCAGGGAGGGTGAGAGGCCCATGTGTGGTGGCCACAGGGGCGGCATCTCCACGACGCCGAGTGGGGCCATCTCCATGTTCGCTGTTTGCAGACACCCCTGCGGCTGAGCACCCAGC